CTCCTCAAGTTGCTCTACTTTTAATACTGCCTGGGTCTTTCAAATCCATAAAACAAGACCTGCTGCAATACCTCCTCATAGCTGCTAAGGTCTTCATTCCCAGACATTGGAAAACCAACATTGTTCCATCTACTAATGGATGGATTGCAGAACTTAACAAAATAATGCATATGGATGAACTGACTGCCCAATTTTATGGCCGGTACCTTTAATTCTCTTCTGTCTTGACCCCCTGGATCCTTCACCAAGATGCAGACCCAGACTAATGTCATCTACCCCATACACTGACATTCTAGGCCTCCTGACTACACATCTTGCAATTTATCTTCCACCACCTGGACTCCCAGACATTTCCACACCCTCCTTAGACTCCTCCCACCATAGGGAGGAGTCTATTGCTGGTTCTTCTGCTGGAGCATTGTGAAGCTGTTTTGTGCCATTTGTTTGTAAGTGCAATTTTTGACACATTAAAAAACTTTTTGAATATACTGCACAATAGAAGCCCCTCTTTTTTTGTTTCCTTTGAATCCTGTGAGAGGATATTATCTATTAATAACTGTAGATCGGTGACAGGGGAGTTTGATCCCGCTGGCGGCGACCATGGACGATTAGAGGAGAGGTGACAATCAGGTCGGAAAGAGCTGTTTACGATCTATATCTGATTATGAATGCGGAGTTCTGCAGGCATCTGGTGAGTGCAACATAGAGCAATGTAAAGGTGCCCATACACTGTGCGATTATCGCACGATAATCGCGGGAAATCCCGCGATCATACGATAATCGCAAAGTGTATGGAAGGTGTGCGACCGCTTTTACTGTACGTCTTTTGTCTAAGGAGCATGCTAGAAAACCAGCCGAGAATCGTACGATTTTTGGCTGGTTTTTAGCATGATCGTAAGATCAATGCTGCACGGGCCGGTGTGCGCACGCGCACACTGCCCGTTCAGCATTGCGGTCATCGGAAACCCGCCCCTCAGGGGGGCGGGCTTGCGATGATCGCAAGTACGATCTGCCTGTCCAAGATGGGCAGATCGTACGTTTTTAAAATTACTTTACAACCATCGCAAGACTAAGATCTTGCGATGGTTGTAAAGTGTATGGCCACCTTTAGGATAATAGAAACAGAAGGATCAGAGGATTACCATTTAGTTTAATTGCTGCTGCCTGCTAACATTTATTGACTTTTCGCTGTCTTTTTCCAACCCTGGGTGTGGGAACTGTTTCACTTTGGTATACATCCATGGGAACTGCACATAAGAAATCCTGGAGAAATCTCAACTATAATTAATGTTATTACAGTGGATTTCATACATGGATCTGCATTTGTTTGATTTATGTTTTTTGTTTAAGTTATGATTACCCAGATTTTATGATCCACATTAGATGGATACACTTTTAGAAATTTTTACATATCTCAAACAATAAAGGATATACTTAAAGCGAGATTGAAGGCAAAAAATGTTTCCCTCCCCCCCCATGTAAATTTTAGCACTTACCTTAAATGATGTCTCTTATTCTGGTCTTCCTCTTCTTTCCCCATGTTTTCATGTGTCCCTCCAGCGGTGCGACATCACTCCGATCCAGCGCTGACTGCTCTGTCCCTCCGATCCAGCGGTGTCTGCATGCGGGTGCACGCGTCCATAGACTTACCTTGCGTCTCTGCTCGTCTCCCGGACGAGAATCGGAACTGCGCATGCGCCCGCAGCAAGATCCTTTGCGGCCGTACGAGCAGTTCCTGATTCTCGGCACGGGAGCGAGCAGCGATAACGAGGTAAGTTTAAAATGATTTCAAGCGTTTTTTGTATTTTTTTACACTTCTTGCCTATATCTACTGCTTGCTAGCAAAAAAAACGGAGGGTTACGACACCTTTAAGGACACTCTTGAGCCTAGCACAACTTATTAGCGAATTGTTATTAGGTGTTTCACTGAGGTTTTGTTGCAACTGGTCCATTGCCATTAACAGGTTAGCAAGAGGGGCTTTCAAACCACCAGATTACTGATGAAAGACAGTATGGTAAGCAGGCGCACTGCAGTTATGTCTATGTGAAAAATAGGAACAGGGCAGATGCCCATAGCAAATTGTTTGCATCTCAAGGTTTTTCTGTTGCAGCCTGGCTATACCTTTTAAAATAGCCTTAGTTAATATTCTATATTAATCTATTTGATCAATTTGTATCTATGTTAGTGACAAATGCCTAGAACATGTTCCTGTTCAATGAAGCCTGTCTGTTGTCATAACTGAAGCAAGAGTAACCAGTGCTTGTTTAATAGCTTTTCTCCTAGAGTATGATCCTTCTTTAATGAGAAAGTGAACATCAAGCAGAACACCAGGTTAAACTATAGCTTAGTGGGGGTTGTTTGTTGTTATGAGAAATTGCCATGGACCTTTCATCATTTTTAAAAGACAGCCAAGACATTTCAATTAGATTAGTGGTTAATTTATCTGACTGTGCTCTGTGGTCTGCAAGCAGCAACATTTACATTTTGTTTTACATTTTTATTCATCCCAAAAATATTTTTACAGACAAGAACCATGCAAGATATATAATACATATGTGTAAGGCTATCCATTAAAGATATAGATGTTAATATTGCAGACAAATATTGCAGGGTTGTAACTCTGCCAAGACCTCATGTAACATGCAGCTATCTCTCTCTATAGGTTCTTGATTAGTAGACAGTATTGGCCAGTGGAAGTTCTGTAAATAAAGAAAACAGTATCCTGCCAAAAATCCACATTTCCCTCAATAAACCTAACAAATGTGTTACCATTAAAAGCCTGGATTGTGTTTTATAAATGGCCTGGAGGAGAGGGAAGCAGAGACATGGCCACAGCCAGTGGCGGACCTAAGGAACAAAGGGCCATGGTGCAAGATTTTTTCTCACACTACCACCCCTTCCCACTCCCAAGGAAGGGGGGGGGGGCAGGAGTGGATCTCACTGGCTCCCCAACCCCCCCAGCGGTCTCTGCACCAAAGGACCTTACACTCTAATGTCCCCTCATAATCACACATTATTATTTGTATACAATTATATAGCTCTGACAAATATCATACTGCTGTACAGAGAACACTGAGCCAGTCACACATCAGTCTCTGTACAGAAGAGCTTACACTCTAATGCAGAATGGCATCGGCTGTAGAGGGACTACAAATCCCAGCAATACATTATACAGCAATGCAGAATAAAAAGTTTTCTTTAACCCCTTCATGACTGAGCTTGTTTTTAGTTTCTGTTCGTAAATGACTGACACACTTTTGACATTTTTGCTGTGTGATTCTTCCACGTCAGTAATATACACCCATGCTGAACGATCCACTTGCTGTTGCATACTCAAAGTTATCAACAGTTTATCACAGTTTTTCACACAGACTTGAGGGTACATTTATCCCTTGTTTTATTTATCCTAATCCTAATCCTGTGCTGCTCCAGGGCCAGGGTGCCAATCCTGATATCTCAGGAGGAGAGTCTCAGCAGGTGCAAATGCGGAGGGTCTCAGCAGGTGCAAATGCGGAGGGTCTCAGCAGGGGCAGATGCGCAGCGTCTCACCAGGGCGGCCGGGGCAAATGCGAAGAGTCTCACCAGGGCAGCAGGGGCAGATGCGAAGAGTCTCACCAGGGCAGCAGGGGCAGATGTATAGGGTCTCACCAGGTCAACAGCAATAGATGGGGAGGGTCTTACCAGGGTGGCAAGGGCAGATGCAGAGGGTCTCACCAGGGTAGCAGGGGCAGATGTGCAGGGTCTCACCAGGGTGGCAGGGGCAGATGTTCTGCGTCTCACCAGGGTGGCAGGGGCAGATGTGCAGGGTGTCACCAGGACAGCAGGAGCAGATGCGCGTCGTCTCACCAGGACGGCAGGGGCAGATGCACGGCGTCTCACCAGGACGGCAGGGGCAGATGTGCAGTTTCTCACCAGGGCAGCAGGCCAGTGGACGAACTGTGGGAGCCGGGGGATGAGCTGTCGAATACTTTTAAAAATGTAAAGCGCATGCACCTTCAATCCTCCAGGACCGGATCCCAGTGGGCCCCCACAGCCTTAGGCCCCGGGGCAGCTGCACTGGCTGCACCACAGGTAGGTCCGCCCCTGGCCACAACTCAGATAAAAGCAGCGCTTTTATCTGAGTTGAAGGACAGCAGGAGCCTAATCCCAACATGTAAATGACTGAATTTGCCATGTGTGGAACAGAGGCTGCATGATGCTTTTGAGGAAAAAATGTATAACTGCTTTAATTTTGGTAAGGTTATTAAGATAAAATACAATTTAAATAGTTGTATTGTGATAAGCTGTAGCATGGCAACTTTGGTAAAATCTGCATCATCCTGACTTTTGTCTAATCCACACTAAAATAGTTATAAACTTTCAAATGTTTTTCAGTAATGAATCCAGATCAACCAAATGTACATTGACCACCAAAGTTTTTTAATTTAAAATTTTGCCCAAGCACTTACAGTCATCATGTTTTAGAACAGTTCCAACTCTCTCAGCTCTGCTTCCCTGAACTTCTTGTGCAGTACAAGATCACAAGGGACAGCACAGTCTCCAGCAGCTGTCCAGCTACTAGCTTGGAGAAGAGAAGATGAAAGAGAAAAATGTGTGTTTGTGGAGACACACACAGCTTACTAACACACACAAGGGTCTCCATAGGACCCTGCAAGGGAAAGGAGCCACCCAGGGTTGGTGCTCCGAGAACCAGCTGATTTTGCAAGAAACTAAAACTTTTAAACATTAATGAGCCGCATCTATTGTAAGTAATTTAATCAATTGAAATAGTGTAAAATCTTTAGATTTTTTTATCACTGTAAGTACACTGTATTACACAGGTATTGGTAATGCAATGTACCTACAACATTTATGATATCTCCGTGTGGATATCAGCAAAATAAAAGCAAGGTTTAGGCTGTTATCTGCATGGGTGGAGCTGGTAGTTACAGACTTCTGGATACAACTTTACCTGTCAAATAAACTATACATCATTTAAGTTTTTTTTGTTTGTCTGCAGGAAGAGATCCAGATTTGCACGTACATTGTAAGGATGACAATACAACTAACAACACATGTTTTCTACAGGAGAATGAAACATCTACTTTGGTGGTAACACTGGTAAGTAATTAACTTCATTTTTGGTTCGTAGATCATTTACTTTAGCATATTTAATCTAACTTTAATTAGAAGAGATTAATATGCTAGAAGATAATAGTACTTTTTATTGTTGTGCCCAAACATTGCAACACGTGCAACCCAGCCAGTGATTATCTGTTTCAGATATTAGTTTTGTATTAAAAAATACATACAGATAGTGGGTCACAAATTCTGCCTAGGTCAGGAGTCTGTCAGTATTAAAGCATATATAGTAATAACTAGGATGTCCTGATACTAGTATACCGATACCACTATTGGTATACCGGGCATTTTAACAAGTACTTGTACTCCTGAAAATGCCCCAATACTAAAGGCCAATACTGGCCCTTTACATTTTTAAACAAGAGCGGCTGCCTGAGGTCCCGAGCTTGCTGAGGACCTCAGGCAGCCTGCTGGGGACCTCGCGGCAGCTGTCCTTGACAATGCCTGTCCAGCCGCACATCTCCCCCTCCTCCTTTCAAGCGCACGCAGAGAACTGCACAGCACTGGACAGCCCCACACCTACCCTTGCAGCCCTGGAGCCTAGCATGAGCTTGGCATACCTTGGTCGAAAGGTGATTGTATTATTTTCTGCATAATTTTTCTGCTGTACCCTCGAAGCTGCAAATGTTTCTCTGTTTAATTGTTCTGGCCCTTATGTTCCTTTTTTTTACTTATTTTTTTCTTGATGTTCCTTGATTTTACTGTTCCCTCATTGTTTAATCCCTGTTAATATGCTAATAAAATTCAGGCTGAAAAATAAAAAATAGTTTACGTTCTATATATAAAAAAAAAAATTCAAGAAAATAATAAGGTGTTGACAGGTGGAGGAGGGAGAAGCTCAGAAGCTGTCACCACATTGGGCTGCTTGGCTTTCTTTAGTGGTACACAATAATAGCTCAGAAATCCATAGAAAAGGAATGGGTCATTGAGCCAGGACTGTAATGCTGAAGAGAACTTCTTCTTTTGAGTTTAAATTACGATAATATGAATCTTTTTTTTTTGTAAAGACAATTCTTGAAATAAGGCTTTAAAACTTTGCTAAAATGCATGTGCTAAACACATTATAATAATGTGCATTTTCTTTCTTTTTTCAGCTGAATCTAGTCCCTTGTACTTTAACCACAAGACTTCAGGAACAAAACAATAAAGATACCTTCTGGGCTAGGTTGAAAACTGTTGTCCAGTATTCAGTGCTTAATATTTCAGTGGCTGTGTATGCAAGTGCTTTACAACATTTGACAGAATTTGCCTTTAACTTGCAGCCCACCAAAACCTATATTGAAGACCTGGATTTTACAGATGGTGAATTAATTCAGATCCCTTTACAACAATTAGCCAAGGGTTGTCTTTATAACCAAAGTATTTACTCTTTAAGGCAACAACAAAAATATAACTATGGCCTATACCCCAGACTGTCACTGGTGGTGTCCAGTTTAGTGAATACTTTAAAGAAGCTGGCTGAAATAGCTATGGAAGGAAAGGAAATGGTGATAACTTTCAGTGCTCCTAATATAATTAAAGTCGGTGATTTAATTCAATCCACAATATCTTTTCCATTTGCTTCCAGTTTTTCATGTTTATGGACAATTTACACACCATTCAGCAACTACTCTTTCGCTGGAAGGTAAATTATTTTTCTGAATATTTGGTCTATTAGTGGGGTTGGCGGGTAGGGGGGCATATTGAGGAACCTGGCCTTGTGCAGCAGAGAGTAAATCCGGCCCTGATTGCAGGTAGATCTTCCTGGTGCATGTGTTTTATATTATAGGGATTAACCATCTGTAAATGTCTGGTGCATGTCACATTTAATGCATCATAACTATGCCACTTAAGTGTACGTATAGCCAAAAATCTTTATTTTTTAGTTAGTAGGGAAGGGTTAAAACCACAGTCCGTATAGTTTTTGCTGTCTGTTTCCCATTAGGGAGGGTTACCTTCACTTCCTGTCTATTAGTAAATGTACTCCTGTGACACAAAAGAGAAGTAAAGCCAAAAAAAGGCTTTGGCTTTACTTTTCTTTTAATCAAATATTAATTGCAGGCAGGGTCGGATTTCCCACAAGGCCAACCAAAGCCCGGCATTGGGGCAGCAGGGATTAGTATCAAACTATTTGATAAAGGGGTCTCAAGTATAGCCTTTGACATCCCCAAAGTGCCCTACTCAATACCCAGCGAATGTAATGCTACAGAAAGCTGTTAAGGTGGCCATACACTTGGCCTATGGTTGTAAAGTACTTAAAAAAGTACGATCTGCCTATCTTGGACAGGCAGATCGTACTTGCGATGACTGCAATGAGGGGCGGGCTTGCAAGTACGGCAAACGGGCAGTGTGCGCGTACGCACACAGGCCCGTTCGTCAGTTGTCGAAAAAGCAGGCCACTCACTCGCCGAGAATCGTACGATTCCCGGCCGGTTTTCCAGCCTGCTTGTTCGACGGAAGACGTGCGACCGTACAGTAGAAACGGTCGCATGCCTTCCATACACTGCGATTATCGTACGATCGCGGGATTTCCAGTGATTCTCGTACCATAATCGTGCAGTGTATGGGCACCTTTAGAGACTGCAGACATGAAACAGGAGATGGTCAGAGCTCATGGCTATGCTACAAGAGATGGTCAGAGACTGTACCATAGGCGTGCGCAGCCTATTGTGATTACAAAATATTATAGCAGGGAATGTAAAAAAAATAACTGTTGTTATTGCAAGACTTGCATCATGCTCTAGCTCTTTATATACAATGATCCCTAATATGCACCTTATGTACTGTAGCTGTGTTGCACTTACTGGCCCACAAGTTAACCAGAGCCCTGTGGGATTAATACAAACCTTTTATATGTGGAATGCTGCTGAGCTTAGCTTTCCTTACTCTAATTCTCAGAAGGTTTCCCTCATGTACAGGAGTGCTTTATTTATCTTGCTATGCCCTTCTTTATTTACAGGCTGGTGAGAAACTGAAAGCTTACAGGGCTCTTTTAAGAACTCTACCATTGTCACATATGTGATGGGATCAATTTAGAATTGTTAGATACATTGCCTACTAGTTTTGTCCTTAATGAGAGGAAGCAATTGACAATGTAGATGCGTTACCCGCTTCTCATAATAGAAATGCATGGGTGGCCATTGCTAATTGTCTCCATAAGTCTTAGTTGCCTGGCTGTTATGCTGGTCAACTGGCTTCAATACATAAAGTCAAAAACCTGAAACAAGTATGCAGATAAGGAGAGTCAGAGTCAGAAAAACGTCAGCAGTCCTTTTCTGCATTGCCTGCCTAGTTCAAGGTCAGAGATTCAAAGTACTAAGACTCCTTTCACATGGCTGGTCCAATTGAGTCTGCCTGTCAGTTTTTCAGGCGGACCCAATCAGATGCCCAATGCAAGTCTATGGGCAGCCGTGTGTAAATGGACAAGTCCGTTTATATCTGGTTTCCCCCAGGCTACGGAAAAACAGATGGATCAGAGATCTGTTTCGCTGGAATGGATTGTGCTTGATCGAGGGTAATCTGATGTAAATGAACACATGTCCGTTTACATCAGATTCTCCATAGATCAACATGGTCTAGCAGTTTCCATTTTTTCCTCTATCGCAAGGTGGGGAAAAAAACTGTATGGGCACCCACTCCGTACTGCTTTGATCAGGAGGGGCTCCGTGCACGGAAACCTCTCCTGATCAGCCTGCGTGAAAGGGGCCTAAAGCAAGAGGGTTGGCATGAAAGTTAGGCAGCAGCATTTTCAGAAAGAATAGTCATTAATGTCAGCCTTCTTGTTTCTCTCATGATAGATTTAGTTTAACCTTTATTATAAACAGGTGATGAAAGCATCTATAATGGGGTTTTTATTGAATATGCCGTATTTTATGGAGGATTGTATAATTAATAGTAAGTTATATTTACATTTTTATTAAAAAAAATTGATAGTTTTTATTATGACACTGTATGTGGAATATTTGGAGATTATGAATTACTGCTTTTCTGTGGAGCTTTTACAAGGTGCGTGAGGCTGTATCAGTGTAATAAACTTACAAAAGATACAGCAAAACCAACAATTTAGTCTGACTGATAGAGCTGAATTTAATTGCTTACTGAGATTAATTGAAATAGTGATAGGATAATATCAGGACAATGCTACATAATTTACATTCACAAGTCTGGTCACCATGCGCTTCGTTCTTCAACTCATGCTTAGTGCTGCCAACTACCAGGAGCTGCTGCTGGCTCTGCTGGTCTGGAGCGCAGCTCAATGTTTTCAGTGCACAGGAGTTAAATCAAACACGACATCCTCAGCATCCCTTCAGATGTGATGTTCTCTGCCCGTCCCTGGCCGATCCTTGCATGGCTCACAAAGCCAGTGGGTTTTGGTGCTGCGCTCGGGTGATTAGCACACCCTGCACACCCTGTGCGCACGCCTATGGTCTGTACACATGCTACAGGGGATTGTCAAAGACTGTGGACATGCTGTAAAGGTTGTTGGAGACTGGAGAAATGCTTCAGCAGACAGTTACAGACCGGAGATGCATTACACAGGTCTGTTAGAGATTACTGCTGTTATAGCACCTTTACAAATCAATGCTTCCACATTTGTGCTCCCTAAAGCTCTCTTTGAAAAAAAAAATACTTTGCCACGCATTTGTTTCCGCAAGATCCATTATTAAAAAATCACAGGATAAAACAAACAAACTAAGAGTAAAGGAATGGACAGCACATAAAAATGTAAGATTGTGTTAGGGAAATACACCTTATGATTTAACTACTAGAAGCCAGTCTAAAGAATATTTTCTCTTCACAAGCATGAGTAAGCACCAAAACACAGAATACTGTCTGAAGGGGTACCAAGAGCCATACAATACGTACTGTGGGGCCGCAGGATGGGCACCAGGGTCTTAGACAGTTGTCGCCAGAACAGGAATGCCCCTTGGAAGATTTTTCCCTCACCTCTTGTTTTGGTGACTCTTTGAATTTCACATCTGTGACAATTGTCAACAGAATGAATAGAGAATGTAAATCTTCTCAACAGGAATGCACAGCAATAAAAAGCAGATAAAGGTGCTAATCCTTCCCCCCTCGATCCCAAAAAAAAACCAAAAAACTTTTGACCATGCATGAGTGCAGTAACCCTGAGTTCGCCATTTTTATGTGGTAACTAGAACCATAGAATTTAGTTCTGAATTGTTGCAAATGGAATGGGACAATAATTTAATATCTGCCTCACTGGCAGTTCACCAGATCCACTTTCCTAATCCAGTTTGAAAACACAAATTAACAGAGCAGCACCCGCATGGGCAAAGGAAAGGACAGGACTGGGAGCCAATCAAGTGTGCTGCATAGAAATGTTCTTACAAGGAACATGTTAATAGTAGGAGAGAGCAGAGAGTTGGCCTCACGAGTCACCTGCTGCTTCCTCACTGTCTAATAATCAGTCTGGTGTGGAGAGAGGACAACACTGTGCCCATTTTACAGTCTATAACTGTAACAAGTAAAGTGTTGTCATCTGTCTGGCTGTGTGGCAGGACTGTGTAAATCTAAGGATTGGATAGACAAAATCATTTGGCAGTTAAACCAGCAACCTTACATGTATTATATATGTGTATTTATCTGTTTGCTAGGAGTTTAGTTTTAAAGTGAAACTTTCGTGTATTTTCAGTTAGTATTTTATATTTAAGTAACATTTGGGAGCATTCATCAAACATTTACTGCATGTAAATCTTGCATGCGTTTTAAATCAAAATGATTGATTCACCATCAGTTTGTTGATAGTAACATTCACTGCTTTATTTACATGCCCCTTGAAGTACATGCCAACATGTTTTTACATGCTTGCTTTTTTATTCTTTGCCTGTTTTATGCTTGTGTTTTACCTCACAGTTTTCTCTTTTTTTTCGGTTTGTTTTTCAGTTCTCTGAATGTTACCACAGATACTCCTGGAATTTACCTGCTTGCTGTTTCTTTAATAAGTCCTCTTCATAACAATTCATTCATTCTTTCCATTCACAAACAAGTCAAGGTCGTTGGTTCCATTGATAATGTCACAGCTTTCTTTACATCTGGAAATAACTATGCCACTTTATCTATGAATGCAGATGGGTCCTATTCCACACAAACACTTGAGTTTAGGGTATTAACTATGGTTGAAGCCAACTTCTTGATTGATTTTGGTGATGGAACAACAGATATTTTTTTACTTGGCAGTCGGCAGCTAAATGGTTATGGTGCATCGGCTTTCCACAAATACTATGCAGGTAAGACTTTCATTTTTTTATAACTATATACCAGCTATTGATGGTTTTTGTATCATTAGCAGAGAAAATATAAATTCTCAAGCACACAGAAAATGTTTGTGCAACCCTCATCAATTGTATTATTACATACTGGTAACTTTCTAAGGATTCTACACGTTCAGAAATATAAATCCAAAGTAGGTATAAAGGCACTCACAGGTCTAACAGTGGAGATAAGTCAAAGCATCACATCACATTATTGTCAACGTTTCGATGGATCTCAGTCCTTCTTTATCAAGACACTAAAACAAAATGGTGAACAGACTCTCCTCAGTGCCTCTATACCTACTTTGGATTTGTGTGGATATTTTTGCGGATGAGCACACAGGCATGTACAATACAAATAGAGTGCAGTGGCTAACCCTAGGACTGTTCAGAATTAAATGTATACAGAAATTTGCAGCAATCTATATTTGTGCACATATTATAAGAATTTCCCATATTTAGTTAGTGCACATTCCCAGTCATTCTTTTACGGAGTACATAAGACAATTAAAGTAAATTATTGCCCCTGAAATAGCCCTTTTGTTTAGGAAAAGGAGTTTACAATTATATTTTAAACACCCTTCTTTTTTTTTTTTGCTTTTGTTTTGATGAAATATGTTGTATACATACCGAAGGTTGAAATGACAAACCACATTGAGAGGACTTTTCATCAAGTATAAACAGTTAGTTTTCATCAGTTAGTTATTTTAAATAGTTAGTATTTCAAAAGGTTTTGAACTGATGAACTATAATTTCAATACAAATTAGTAAACTAAATGTGAGATCATAGTTCATCAGAGGAGTGAGCTTGGAGCGGTGGCCACTTTACAACACACACAGGGAGCATGGCTAACAAAAGTAGCCACCCTCCAGGAGCAGGGACAATCTCATCACAGATTTGGAGATGATTTGAGGCTCTACAGCTGAAACACAAATAAGCTAAATTTGTGTTAATAGTTCAGGTACTTGAATGCCTTTTTAAGATTTAATTCCTGAGTTTAGTGTCACTTTAATTTCCTGTGAAAGCAGAAGGGAGACTAATTCCTCACTATTGAAAGACTTGGGCAATAGCAACTCTGAAAGATTTGTTCATGAATGCTGACAAACCTAAGAAATAATAAGAACTTAAATAATCCCACTTTATTATCGGTAATAGTTAATCTAGTTATATACAGGATAAATATAGGGTCCTACCCTATACAGACTGACCAGGTGCTATTTGAGAAATATTATTATGCTCTGTATTAGGGATGCACCAATATATCGGCCGCCGAAACATATCGGCCGACAATGGCACTTTTGGCTAAATGCCGAAAGTGCCATTTTCTGGCTAATACATCGGCGCATCCCTGCTTTCTTTCCTCCCCACTGGGCGCTGCTCTGTGTCCCAGCGGGGAGGAGAGAAAGAGTGACAGCCAGCTGAGCGCTGCGGGAGGAGAGCGCTGTGAGCGGCCGACGTCTCTCCTCCCCGCTCAGCCTCCTACCACAGTCCGGCAGAGCGGTGTGGGGGCGGAGACAGCTTGCGCTGTCACAGGAGGCTGAGCTCTCCTCCCTGAACCGCTCGCTCAGCCTCCTGTGACAGCTGTCAGAGAGGAGAGCAAGGTACAAACACTCAGCGATCAGTGATCGCTGAGTGTTTGTACATAATTGAGGACCTTTTATGTTGACTATATCCTCAATTATGAATGCATGGGAAGTGATCTACATCCCCTACTGTTCATTCATAATTGTGGTATTGTGGTTATAGTAAACACACAATGTCCTCACATTATGAATGGACAGGAACACTCATAGAGGATTCATTGATAACAGGGGCTGCAGAAAAAGAGTAAATAAAAATATTCATTAAAAAATGAATAAATAAAAATATAAAAAATGTAAAAGTTTATAAAAAATACATTAAAAAAATATTTGAAAAAATATCAAAACATTTTCGGATTCGCCCTGACAATTTTTTTTATTTCGTTTTGGTTTTGGTTTTTAATTTTCCCTTTCGGTGCACCTCTACTCTGTGTAATATTATTTGTTATCAAAGAATATCTAACAGGATTTTAATTTGGTTTTTAATGATCTTATGGATTATATTTTATGTATAAATATTTTGAATAAGTAGTGAATTGATTTTTATTGTGGGAGTCTAACAATTTTTGGGAGTTTTGGTGTTTGTTTTACAATTTGGCCTAGCTAAACTTTCCTAGACAAACATCCCATAGGGAGCACATCTACTCTAGGACATGCATGCATAAGCAAATGGGTCTCCCCACAGGAACATGGTATTCGAGACTAATGAAAGGACATTCTCTCCAAATAGAGCGGCTATATCTAACAGACCAAAGGAGAGCAAATAAGAGAAGTTATTGTTAGAGTTTACATACTTTTTAAGAACAATGCAGCATGCAGCAAACATAATAAACAGATACAGACAGTTGGACTGGTCTTCCTCTGGGATAGCCAATATACTGTGTCCTCTAGCTTGGCCACATTTTGGGCAATTGATGGGTATGCTGAATATTTCTATATACTCTGTCTTTGTTGTCATTGGTTTAGTTTACAGATTTACCTGTCACCCTGCTTAACGTGTATCTTCACGTTATCTTCTAAGCAGAAATCCAGAATAGGGGAACACAAAGGTCTTTCCACATTAGCATACATAAGCCAAAAGAGAGACATGCATGGTTCATCTCACATTAAAACTACACAACTACATGCTTTTCTCCATCCTTCACATTCCTTGACACCCCTATGCCATCCCTTGACATCTCTGGAGCCTAAAGGGACCAGCCTACAAGAAATAATCCCCCATTTCTTGTCCTGGCATTGCAGGGACAGGAAGAGAAGGGAATTCTTCCTAGTAGAGGTCAGTGACAGAAATAAAAAAAATTACAGACATTTGAACTCTTTTCACTCCATTTTAAGGTGAACTTAAAATGCATGCACTATTTTTTTGCGATCGCACCGCACTGGAACGCAGGACATTGCTGGATGGCACTGTGGGCAGAAGACATGTCTGCGGTGCCATTGACATTAATGGTACCACAATGCCTCCTCCCGCCCCAGAACACAGGAGGCTTGGTTTATGCGATCCAGTGCATTCAGGGCACGGAACCGTGCTGGAATGCACTGGATAGCGTGTGAACAGGCTCTCAATGTATAGAATAAGGCTTTACGATTATAAGGAATAATTTATATTGCAGGTGCTTCTTTTCCTCATTTTTATTGCTACTCACATTTCCTCCTGTACTGCCTACTTTCTCTGTTGTACAAATTAGTTTGCATTTCATTAAATGTTTTCATTGTTTGTTCTTTTTTTGTTTTTGCAGCTGGTGAATATCACGCTAAAGTGACAGCTTTCAATGAGTTGTTTAATGCAACGGAAGTCTTTGACCCTTTCTATGTACAAGTAACTCCTACTGGTCTGTCTCTGATGATGAACACTAGCATTGTCCACAAAGATGATTATGTTCTATTCAGTGCAACTCTCAGAACTGGTAGCAATGTGACATACACATGGAACATAAGTGGTGAATATACCAGCCAAGGTAAGAACAAATGAAGCATAAAACCTGGTCTGGAACTTGCATTAATTTTAATTTTCAAGTATCTCAGATGCTTAAGCACATATTCTTGTTTCTGTTTTTAGAGCCTACAATTATTTACAGATTTTCAACTGTAGCCTATTACAACATTACTGTCATTGCTTGGAATAAACTTGGAAGGCAAGAAGCCTGGAAGATTGTGAATGTTTTACCAAAAGTGAAACGTATGTATTTAAAAAAATTTTTTTTAAACTTATTGGTAGTAGTATTTAGTGTAGAAAACAAATTAAAGTTTGAAGCTGTCACATGTAGAACTGAAATTCAGATGCCATTTTGAACAGCATGACAAAAATTATTACACTGGACCATATTTAGGTGTGGAGCATAAAGCATAAAGTGTAGAACATAAAGTATGTGCTGCAGCAAAGAGAAAATGTGTTCTGTTTTCAATTAGAGTCCAATAATATTTTTTATTAGGAATGAGATAAAACAAAGAATTCAGGTGGTTCTTCAAGGCCAACAAAAAAAACTCGACTCTTTGGTAATGTTCAACCGACTACTCCCATTTTTTGTGTTTATTTATTTTTAGAAGAACTGTCAAAAATCAGGCGATTGCAAAGTAAGCGTAATCTGTCACAAAAGTAATAACTTAGACTCCTTAGACTAGGTTCCCCACTGACAGTAGTATATCTTCAGCTTGTTTAGGCCAAATTTTGTGAATAGAAGTAGGACAAAGTCACTGAGGGGAATTTATCAAAATTGGAGCAGACAAAATCTGGAGCAACTGTGCACAGCAAATAATCAGCATCCAACTTTCATTTTCAAACCTTAACTGAACAAACTGAAGAGATAAGCTGATTGGTTGCTATAGGCAACTGCTCCAATTTTGATAAATTCCCCCACTGTCTTTAATACACATCAATACAGTTTAATAAACAGCAGTAATACCAAGGTGGTGTGGAGTTTGTTCCTATGAAATACAATTTTATGTGTGTTGAAGAGGAGTACTTTTAGCTAGTTCTAAAAATGTTTGTAGGCAGGCAGGCTTGTGGTGTGATGGCCACTGCTGATCAGGAGAGTGTCATTACACCTGACTAGCAGTATGGGAACTGAGGCGGTGATTGTCAAGTCAATGAATACATTTTTTCACTGTATTAAACAAAGAGGTCACATTACCGCTCTTTATAACTGGCCCAGCATTGGACCATTATGGCCTCTGCCATGGACTCCAAGCACCATCTTGGGAGGGCCTGTGTCTAATTGGGCACAGAGTTCTCTTGATATTTGGGGGGCCATCTTGGACACAGAAAGACTATATAAAACTGCTTCTGCATCACAGGGAATGTGCCCACAGGGACAGATGTCTGCATATTAGGGACAGATATGCCTTGCCCTTTAAGTTTAGTATGGTTTTGCAGAACAAACTTTTTTTCATATATCCTATCCCTTTTTTCAGCGCTTTACATTTTAACAAATGGAACTGTGTTTTCTACGGAGACGGATATTAATTTTACTGCAGTGACAGAAGAGTTTGTGCGTTGGGAATTTAAATGGCAGTTTGGAGACGGGACATCTAGGGGAATAACAAGAAAAAGTATAATAAAAAGATACAATCTACCAAACACGTATGTATCCAGTTGAATGTATAAAATACAAATAGTTGTCAAGAAATGTTACATGAAAGAAAGCATATCAAGTGCACATGAATCAGGCATGTTTACCTTGTAACCACTGATGCTTATTGGTAATCACATTCTTGTGCTGTCTGCTTTCCCCATGGACTTTGAAGCTTACGAGTGTTCCCGGGGCTGGAGTAACTTTGTTGTTTCCTCTGGGCTCACTCTACCAACTCCTAGTTCCTGTTTCTCCCTTTGAAACAATCTTTTTGTGTTCAGATCTCTACTTACTTCTTACATTACAGGATTATTATTAGCATTTTGAGTGCACCGGAATAGATATATCTGTATACATATGTACTATGTATTTTCATTTTTTAAATTAAGAGACGTAGGCCAGGTGGAGGATTTAGAGGAGATGGAATGGAATATGAAATCTTGAATCATGTACAGTATATTATATTTAATCATGTTGTTATATTCATAATATACTGTGCTGGGGAAATATTTATTTTCTTTTATTGTATCTCTATGTGGATTAAATTAGATTTATATTTTTGGATATTTATGTATTGATACATTAGTAGTTTCCATTATGGTATCTCTATAAATTAGTGGGTAGAGCTATAGATATTTTTGAGTTGATTGAGAGTAAAAACCTAATGGAAACAGATAGTATAAATAAATGTTATGAATTGTGGATTCCACACCTTTTGATTTTTGGCCCTCAATTGTATGCAACATGGTTTACAAAAGCACTGAAGCCAAAGCATCAGAAGGATAGGCAAAACCAAAGAAAATAACATGGGAAAAATGATAATTTATATAATGTTGTGACTATAGAGGGTTGATCTTTTATTATCTGGTGAGATTGAACAAGGCATGTTCTTGGTCAGTAGTTGCAATAACTTTATTTCTATTTGTCAGCATGTTTGCATAAGTGCATCACTATATACGGTTTCATTAAGCAAATATTTTTGTGTGAATTTAATGCAAAGTTTCTCACCTAAATATCCTGCCTCTAAAAACGCATGCTGTAAAGGCTGACATTGATCTATCCATGGTATAGCGCTAAAGGCCTCACAGTGTAACACCCAAATAGTGTTAGATTGCAAGTTTGAAATAAAGTGTCAAAATTAGTGACTAATTTTGACACTTTATTTCAAACTTGCAATCTAACACTATTTGGGTGTTACACTGTGAGGCCTTTAGCGCTACACCGTGGATAGATTAACCTTCAGGCATACCGCCTTAGTTTAGCAGATTCTGGCTAGTCCGGTTTTTCTTCTTTCTTCTTCTTCCATAAGGGCAGGTTTTTGTCTTTCAAAGGCTGACATTGGCCTTGCAATTAGCAATAGTGTTGACAGCCAGCGGTGCACACTCCTTCAGTTTGCCGTTGGGTTTTCTATCAAGTCTGTAAGAGGCATGCACTGTTGCACATACCTGATAGGCAGCCCAACTACCGTGTGAAGGAGTGCTCATGGCAGGCTGACAATGATGCTTCTAATTGTGAAGCAGTGGAATAGCATCGTCAGCCTTCAATAGGAAGTGCTCTTACTAGAAAATCTCAAGATAAGAAACTTTGCACATTAATTAAAACAAATTCTTAAGAAAACTGTATGCAGTGAGGTATAATCCCAAACATATTGAAAAATAGCTGTTTGGTTTACATTTATATTCATAAATGAATTGCATTATTATCAGAAATATCTAAATGTAAACATATTTATGTGTGATGAAGGGCATATGGGAAACATTAGTGCACTATGATGTTTTGTGATTTTGTAATGAATATCTGATGCTAGCTGAAATAACTTTTTACCTTCCTATATATATTTAATTATCTCTCTCTCTTTCTACCTCTGTGTGTGTATATATGTGTATATATAGGTATCTATATATAGATATCAATATCTATATAATATTTTTTTTTTCTCCTTTACAGATATAGTGTTATAGTTACTGCTTCAAACAAATTCAATTCTTTTACTTCTGATGTGCACACAATATTTGTGCAGAGAAAGGTTATTCCTAATCGTCTTGTTGCAAGTCCTTCGGTAGTGATAAATTCAAATGTCAGTTTTTACTGTAGAATAAATTCTGGAACGAATGTTAGTTATTTTTGGAATTTTGGAGATGGAACCAAAAGACTTGGCAAGTACAATGACACACATGTCTATAAAAGGTAAGGACAGCTTTGAAAGTGGTATACTTATTATTGATAAACATTTTATTCATGAACAGGACATCATGAGTAGGAAAAAAAAATGATGGTGTAGCTGTATGAAGGCAGAATGTGCTGAATTTCTGTGCCTATTAGCAATTTTCAGTTGTTGTCTGTTAGTAATCAATACTATAATGCTTTAATTATAATACGTGGACTACATTTCTTACCTTTTCTTTCTTCTTTAGAATTGTGTTTTGATGTCATAGCCAAACATCTTTATATCTATCAGTGCACAGATTATGAACTCTTTTAGTGCACTCTTTTAACTGCTGAGCATTGCCTCAAATACTTTTTTTTTCTGCAAATGCCACATTAACAAATATTGATTTGCCCTATATAGATGTGTTTGCATAAACATTCCATTCTCTACGTGTCCAATCTTTTTACTATTTTATGTGGGCAAGGACGGAAGCAGGAAGCACAGGGCTCTTTAGCAAAATTTTGATTGGCCTCCCCAACTGTGGCAGCTGGGCTATATTGCACCCCCATTTACACCCCTTTAACACTGGTAGTTAGAGATAGGCAGTGTATAATGTGCCACCTTTTACATCCCCTCTGGTAATCAGAGGCAGGCAGCATATATTCCACACCTATAGGACTGCTATTTACCTCTTAACACTGATGATCATTGAACAATTACATGTAGCAGTCGGGCATTCTGAATGGGTCACTTCACAGTCCTTGGGTTAAGGCAACACTACTCAAAGACTTCAATTCTCTCTCATGACCTGCTCCTGTAATGAGGCTGTGTATCAAAAAATCATTCATTTTTCTTGGTCAACCCAAATTAAGCTAGCTCAAGCAGGATGATTATATGCCATTTGCAGAAAAAGACAAGACTCAAAAAGTTCTTCAAACACATATATTGTTTTTTATGGTAATATATCTTGTCTAGGACAGTTTTGTTCATGTCTTCTTGTCATTTCAGAGAAGGGGAATACACAGTGAATGTTTCCATCTTCAACAACGTCAGTTCTGCATTTTTGACCAAGCAAATCTTTGTTGTTAAAAAGCCCTGTCAGCCTCCCCCTGTGAAAAATATGGGACCCCTTAAATTGCAGGTATACCTAATGTGATCATTGTATTTTGTTTATTGATGCAAAGAAAATATGTTGTGTTAACACCAATCGCTGTTTTGTATTTCTCTGCTGAGCAATGAGGGCAAGTGTTTAAAACTGAACTTCTATTGCATGTCAGAAAGAGGTCAAATGCATCTGTCAATGAATTGTAAATAATCTCAGATGCATGTCCAACTGATGTTAAATGCAAGTGGAATGCTCCTGAAACCACACTGCATTTGCCCATTGACATAAACACAAAGCCTGTTGACACAGGTGATAATAATGCATGTGTTTAGTTGTGGAAGCTAATTATGTAAAACTTGGATATTATGTTTAATTATGAAAAAAATAAGTGAGCATCTATTTTGTACTGTGCAATAAAATGTATTCTATGTTTTAGATTCGGAGATATGAAGACCTATACCTTGGAGTCACATTTGAGGCTACAGTAATATGCAATATCTCTCAAGGACTTAAGTATCATTGGTCTTTCATTAAAACTGATGTGACTTATATTTTTTTACCAGCTCGTGTTGAGAATAGCAAACAAACAATTACATTGCCAGCATTTTCCCTTGATTATGGAAATTATACAGCTCTAGCTCGAGTAAGTAGCACCCATGTCCACCAGAAGCGAGTGATCCCCTGGTGTCTTTGCTGTTTTGGTATTCTCTGGACATCTTAACATATCTGAGTAACTATCAATCTAAAGCTGCTAAAACAAGTATTTGAAAACTTTCATATTGTAGATTCATTGACATCAGGGGCAGCTTAATGTGTTTATATTTATGTTTTCTGTATCAATGTTTTTATTGAAATTTTCACATATCAAACATTATAAAGATATCGGTTCACAGTGCATCATTGCATAGGTTCTTCATTACAATCATGAATTCACAGGTACTAGAATTCCGTATGAAATATATGCACACTCAAGGAACAGGGATACCTTGCATTCGCAAGCGCTCATATTACGAAATCAACACTATGACATGTACTGATGCTAGTTCCCTGCCCCCTGGCAGTGAGCCAATTATCAACCAGAAACATAAGGCGGGGTAAAGGCCCCAGGAAACAGAGAATAGGGGGAAAGGGGTAAAAGCGTGTTAGGGGGGTAGTAGTAGCCGGTCACCCATACTACTAGGGAGTGGGGGGGGTCCCATAATTTGCTTACATCAATCATCCTACGGAACATCCATGACTGCCGCCCCTCACGTCTCACACGGATTGCCATCAGCTGTCCAACCCACCTTATATAGCTCGGTAGCTCATTGGGTCTATCCCTGGGTGACGGGATGAGAGCCATGGTTCCCACACACTCAGAAACCTGGAGTTTTTGTCTTCCAAAATACTAGATAGTCGCTCGTTATAGCATAATATTATCCAACCTCTGTTTAAATTCTCCATAAGGGGTTTGTTGTTTCTTCCAGTATCCTGCGACCGTCAGTTTGGCTGCCAGAAAAATAAAGTGCGCCAGAGCCCTCTGAGGCTTACGCAATCCTGGCATGGACATGTGTAACAGGGCATATTGGAAATTTATTGGGATATGTGTAGAGAATAGGGAGCTAATTAGTTTAAATATCCTGACCCAGAACCGTGTAGCCAGGGGGCAGCACCACCAGGTATGTAGCATAGCCCCCCCTTTCTCCGCACCCTCGAAAACAGGTACTTGAGGCTGTGGGGAACAGGCGCACCACCCTGGCTGGGACCAGATACCACCTCATCATTACCTTATAGGCTACCTCAGCATTTGTAACGCTAATAGAGCATTTTGCGACATTGCGCCAAACTGCTGCCATTCCTTCATGGACCACTGACGGGGCAGGTCCCCTTCCCAGCTGCGGACATAAGTGTGGGAAGTGTGGCTGACCAATCTATTTAATTGTGAATTGGAATTGTTATGAGGCCTGGGCCTTCCAGGGAGTGAAGACACATATGTTCAAAACAAGTAAATAAGTTAGTGGGATCCCTCCTCCGAGTTAGAGTGGAGATCCAGTGGTGAAGTTGGAGATATCTATAATGTTCAACTCCCGGTATTTGATTTGTGTTCCCGCAAGTATTGCCAGGAAGGAATGGCGGAGGAGCGCAGAAGGTCATGCACTATTCGGAATCCGTTGTTTATCCACCAACCAAAGGCCGTGGGGTTGACCAGGCCAGGCCTAAAGAGTGGTTGGGCGAACAAGGGAGCAATGGGAGGTATGGTGAAAGCAGGTGCGCTGAGTATTTAATAGAGTCCCACACCTTAAGTGTATGCATCATGAGAGGGCTAAGGGTCCTCGGTCTATCACAGGCTGGCAACCAGGGTAAAGCCGTAAGAGGCATGGGGGAGCAATTCTGGATTTCCAACATAAGCCAGAGTGGGGGCGAGTGGCGCTGATGCATAGTTATTAGTGGTATGAGTTGAGCAGCTTGATACTACAGCAGTACATTGGGGAGGCTCACACCACCATCAAGTTTACGTTTGTATAGAGTAGTTCTTGCCACCCGAGCCCTGAGGGGATGCCAGATAAACTGGAGGATACTCCGCTGCAACGAGCGCATAGCGTAAGAGGGAATTTGTACCGGCAGTGTTCTAAAGTGATATAGGAGTTTGGGCACAAGCGTCATCTTAACCGCTGAGATTTTTCCCATCCAGGACAGATTATAGGTCGACCATGAGGTGAGTAATTGTTTCAATGTTTTGAATAGTGGAATGTAATTCGCAGAATTCAAGGTTTCATAGGATGCTGTAATTTTAATACCCAGGTACCGAATATAGGATTTAGCCCAGGTGAATGAAAAATTGGTGCGAACATTCTCATACATCGGGGCAGGTAGAGATACATTCAAAGCAGCGGATTTCCCCCAGTTCACTGAGAGCCCAGAGATAACGGAGAACTGCTGTAGGAGGTTGAGCAGGTAGGGTACTGTGGTGTGCGGCTGCGTCAGGGTCAGCATAACGTCATCTGTGAACAGGCTAGCCTTATACTCCACTCCTGCAAGTACAATTCCTCTGATGTTGGTGCTAGAGCGAAGGAGTATGGCCAGGGGTTCAATTGCCAGCGCAAAAAGAGCTGGGGACAGTGGGCATCCCTGTCGTGTTCCCTGGCGGATAGGGATCTCCTGGGATAGGTGTCCCAGATACTTCACCTGGGCCATCGGATTAGAGTATAGGACGCGTAACCATACTAGAAAGGATTCTCCAAAACCCCATTTACAGGTGAAACTCGAATAATTAGAATATCGTGCAAAAGTAATTGCAGTAAGTGCTGCAAAAGGGGCCCAAACCAAGTACTGAGTACATATGCATGCTTGTACTTTTCAGAGGTCCGATATTGTTCTATGTACAATCCTTGTTTTATTGATTGCATGTAATAATCTACTTTTTTGAGGTTGTGGATTTGGGGTTCTTGGGGTTTTCATGAGCTGTAAGCCATAATCATCACAATTATGACAAATCACGGCTTGAATTATCTTGCTTTGCATGTAATGAGTCTATCTCATATATTAGTTTCACCTTTTAAGTTGCATTAGTGAAATAAATGAACTTTGCACGATATTCTAATTATTCGAGTTTCACCTGTATGTAGGATATAGTGTAGGTATTCCCAGGAGATGGAATTGAATGCCCTCTGCAAGTCTAGTGATAACAGGAAACCTGGAATATTATGAGACTTAAGGGCATGGATCAGGTGGATTATTTTGCGGACATTATCTCCTGCCTGTCTACCAGGGATAAAGCCCACTTGATCCCTATGGATGATACTGGGGAGTTTTGAATTGAGACGTGTGGCGAAGATTTTAGTTAGAATTTTGTTATCAACGTTGAGTAAAGATATGGGCCGATAGTTATTGGGGTCTAGTGAGTCTTTGTCAGGTTACGGGAATCATGGATACATATGCTAGGAGTGAGGAGGGATGCAATGTTCGGCCCTGTCTGAGGGAGTTGAACATTGCGGCCAGTTTAGGTGCCAGGAGGGGAGCCAATTTTTTATAGTAAAGGGCCGAAAAGCCATCAGGGCCAGGGGCTTTAGATGGTTTGAGGTGCTTAATAGCCAGAAGTATTTCTTCAGTGGTTACTTTCTTAGCTGAGGTGGTCCAAGTCATCCCCTTTGATCTGTGGGAGTACAACATCCTGTAAGATATTGTCTGCCTTTTCAGCGTTAAAGGTGCGGGATTTAGTATAGAGAGAGGTGAGGTTTTCTAAGAAGGATGCTAAAATCTTTACCGGGTTTGCTGATATCATGCCCCCAGGGGTGTTCAATCTAATAGTAGCCGGTCTATCAGGCAATGTTCTGAGTTTTCTAGCCGATAATGTGCTAGGTTTGTTTGCCCGTGAGTGGAATCTGTGCTTGGTCCACCTCAGAGCCCTTTCTGCGCCCTGATCCAGCAAGAGGTTCAGTTCCATCTTCACTGAATTCAGGCGCACCAGGAGCCCACGGTCGAATTTATCTTTTAGTGCTCTGTCAAGGGTTTCTAACTCATCCTGCAGTTCGGTTACCTTCTTCCCTCTCTCTTTTTTGCGGCGGGAGGCCAGTTGAGCTGCCCCCGCATTGTGACCTTATGGGCCTCCCACAGAACCACTGGAGACCGGACGGACCCCTCATTCAGCTCAAAGTATTGTTTAGCGTATAGTTCAATAAGAGACAGTGGACAACAATGATTTGTTTATTTTCCAATGTCCCCTCCAGGCGGAACTGTACCACATTTGGAGCATGGTCTGACCATGGGACTGCTTTAATTTTAGCTGATGTAAAGTGACTTAGGCCTCGTTGGGGAGTAAATACGTGGTCAATTCTACAAAAAAATCTGATGTGGGTTGGAGTAAAATGTAAAATCCTTAACCGTTATATTTATGTTTTCATGCATCCATTCCTCACTACACTTCACTGCATATACAAGGTTACTTAGCTCTGCTCAGGAGCTGGGAGACATTATATGTTATGAGAGAGAGAGGTCAGGCAACTGGAAATAGAAACTGCCAGACTTCACAGAGCTACTGAGCTCTGAGATTCATCCTCAGGCAAGTTGTTAGGCTTAATTAGGGGGCAAATCTTGTAAAACAGCACACTTAAAAAAAACTAAGACAGAATATTTAGATTCAAAGAAACCCAATCACAACTAGTACTCTTATAAGCATGTATAGTATTGATGAGATTACAATAAAGCCTAAAGCGCATTTAATAGAGAGGTGTGACCCATTACCAAATATAGTATGATCCACTGGTAACCTGCGTGGTGTGACTTCAAAGTCTTTTCTTATATATGTAAAATGTCATGCATACTGGGCTACAGGTTCAATATTAATGCCAACGATGCAAGCACTGAGGATTGTAGGTCCAGGATCTGTGCAAACATGCATGAATAATAAAGGCTATCACTGAGGCATAGACACAGGAAGGTTGCTCTTTGGTGCGGAAGAATTCTATAACTGGATAGGGGAGTATGCAGAAAGGGGTTACATGTGATTTAGAAAGGGTTATTGTTAGGGTTTTAGTCAAAAAAGGGTAAGTATTAGGGGGGCTTAGGGTAGAATGTGGTTCTCTGATTGAAAACTGGCTGTGCTAAAACCTAATAAACAGACATGGACAAATGTGTTGGTAGCCTTACATTAAAACAATGCCTGATGCCTCCTGAAAAGTGATGACATTAAAATCTATTTTGGTATGTCATAGAGTATGAAGGGGAATATATCCAACCTTCCTAGATGTGGCCACAAGAGGAGAATGGAGGCAAAGAGCCAAGTCAAACTTCCAAAGACATATAGCCTGAGCACCAAGGTCAAGATACATTCAGTGTCTGATCGCACCATAAGTGACAGTGGGCTCAAAGAAAGACTCCACTGTTGAAAGAAAAACAAAAATTGGAATGTGTTAAAATGCATAATGACAATCCAAGATGCTAGTGGGAGAATGTCATTTGGACAGCTGAGAGAATACTGAAGCTTTTTGGCAGGTTCCATCAGGGCTCATTTTTCACAGCTGAAACAATGAAGCTTTCAAAGCAAAGAGCGCTATACCTTCTATGAGACATTGAGAAGGCTAGGTTATATTTTGGGGCTGCTCAGCTTCATCTGGCAAAGGGCACCTTTAATCTGTGCAGAGCACAATAAAATCTCAAATCTATTAGGACATTCCAGATCAAAACATATTACTCAGTGTCAGAAAGCTGTCTCAGTCGCAGGTGACAGACATGCCAATGGTATAATGTCCCAAAACACACAGTTAAAAGCACACAAGAACATGGAAGTGTATCAACAAATTTGTCTATGTCTGCATCATCCCTGCGTAACTAAAATTCAAATGTCATTTGTTTGGGGGTTCTGTCAAATGCATTTACCTAATCTCCTTTCAGGCAATAAGATAATCCTCAAACAAATGTGACCTCTATAACCTCTGTTGTGCACCTCCCTTTTGGTGCTTGCTATTCAAAGACAGGGTATTTTTTCCAAATAATATTAACTTTCCGGGGAGCCTAATACATTTAGTATAATTCATGAGATCCTTAGTAGATTGCTTCTGGATGGTTATCTAAACAATAAATATTTACCATACATCTTGGTGATGGTCCCAATGGTCCATGTTAATTTATGGTCATCTCTTTATGTTTTTAATGTACCACAAGGTGCTGTGTTCAATATGCTTTTATTTTTTAGGTTCAAATAATTGGAACTGTGGTCTACAGTAATTACACTGTGGCAGTTGAAGTTAAACCTACTGCTCCAGTGAGTGTGATTGCAAATGGTCATCACCATTACATAGATAAAAACACTGTGAAACATTTCATACTGGATGGAATGGCATCGTTTGACCCAGATAATCCTGGTTCTCATTTAAGGTAAACCATTACAAAAAACATCCAACTGTAAGAATAGCCTGTTGATGGAGTACTTCCACATGTTGTATAGTACAAAGGGATTATTAGAACTTTATGGGTTGAGAATGAAAGGGGATATTTTTTCCCAATTGTGGTAATTGTAGACAAGTTTTAGCAGTACTTTTCTGATAAACGTGCTATGAACTGACACTCAGAAGTTTCATGTATTCAGTCGTCTTGTTACCATTTATAATTGTTTGATTACAAACAGGCTATTTATAGATCACATGTTGTACCTAATATACACTTAACATGACATCTGTACTTAGAGAATATGGCTGTCATTTTTTATCTCTACTTCAAAAGATGTGATTTGGGGACTGTAATGCTTTTTGAACTACTGTATAGAACACTGTATTCAGATCAGGTGTTTTTACTTCACTTTGACTCTCATATTTGCATGCTTGCTATGGGTCAGTGAATCATACCGTATTGAAGCCAGAGAGCCAAGCAAATTCTTATATAAGAAAATCAGCAATGCAACCCCCCATTTCTTCTTTTTTTAATTTGATTTTTCTTAGTTTTAGTTTGTTTACTTTTATTTAACAACATTTTTTGCTGAGGCACTACATTAACAAACATGTTTGGCAGCATTGTAACATAGTGTTTGTACTGTGGCCTTGCAGCATTGGAATATACAGTATAGCTTTAGTTACATCTTTATACATTATCTATATGGAATTTGCTTCATTCCTTGTTCTCAGTTTGATTTTCACAGCTTGCTCCAGTTTCAAAGCTGTCTACCAAAACTTTGCTGCTGGTATGTCTTTTTATCTGACATAAAAGCTCCTCTCCATCCTCCTTACTCCTTTTTTCTTCTCCTCTTCCTCCTTCTTTCCTTACTTTTTTGTGTTTCTTGCTACCTGCATATCAATATTATTTTCTTGTCGTATATCTGACGTTTTGTTCTCTCTAACCTGTTAACATGTTAATTCCTGTATTGCTGGCAGGTTTTTGGGTATGCCTTACTTGTTGCTTTTTAGTATACTTGGTCTGTACATGGTCTTATGTTAGATGATTGTTTATTATTGTCTTACGTGTGAGAACGATACATTCTACAACTGTGTTTCTTTTTTGTATTTTCTAACTTTTATTGGGTTTTTTTGTCTTGTATATTTGCTGAAAAATTTTCATACAAATAATTTATTAAAAAAAAAGGTCCTCTCCAGGCATTAACCCCTACACTTCTTTCCACTCTAGAACTAATCTCTATGTTATTTGTAAAAAAAAAAAACAAAACCTAACTTAATCTGTGGTCATGTGATGTGCTAGTGCTAGGTCTAGAGTATTTTACCTTCTTCAGTGCAAAAGAGGAGGGTTCTTCTCCAGGTGTTCACATTGCTGCCTGGATGATGTGAACACTTTCTATTGGCTGCCCAAGGTACTAGTTAGCATGGGCACAGAGTGCAGTACAGGAAAAATATTACCCCCACCTGGAAAAGGCATGGATGAGGCACATGGACAAAGCAGCTTCAGAACTTTAAAAAACAACAACATAGTGAATAGATGGGTAAGGGTGATTTGGGGGGTGCATGGGAGGAAAGGCCGGGGAGTTGTGTGGTAATCTGCTTACAGGACTATTGACAATGGTAGATTGGACATAAAGTCCAGTAGAAAATATTACTTAAAATCCAACCAAAGCCAAAACTTTTTTCTGTTTTGGATAGAGTGGAGAGGGATTGGAACACGTCAGGTTTTTATTGTTGTCTGTGTCCCTGTTAGGGTAATTCACTCTATTTGTCCTGGTGACATATACCTTATACATTTGTATGAAGGCAGACTTTATTAAGTAGCAACTGGTAACTGTCAACTTTTTAATAGTTTTTTTTTTTTTCAGGTTCTTTTGGAATTGTATTCCATTGACAAAACAACAGCACTCATGCTTCAATTTAGATGGCTTGAACCCACTACAGAGAAATGATGCCGTTATAACATTTCCAACTGCTTTACTCAATGATAAGTGTGACCAGTTTCAATTTAGTTTAATTGTATCCAGTGGAGATCGCAAATCTTCAAGTGCTGAAATTTTTTTATCCATCAGTCCAAACACATACTTGAGGTTTGTATCACATGTGTAAATAAAAGCTACAGGGTCTGGCTGAACATAAAAGCCTTGTGCCAATGAGGCCTTAAATGTGTCCTTAGATAGATATGTGTGTTGGTATTGTTGACATCTTCTGAAAATGCTAGTTGCCTGGCTGTATAGCTGGTTTACTGGCTTCAGTATTTTCTGAATTATGACTCTAGAACAAGTAGTAAGCAAACCAGGATTATGTTTGTCATTCTGATTTCAATGATGGGATGTGTGTTTCAGGCCTGTGACTCAAAAAGTACTTAAACCAAAGACATCCAGCAACTAGCTTTCAGAGATGGTCAGCAAAAGGAACCTCCATATTTTTCTAACTAGATGCTTTTTAACAACCCATTTATAAACAATAAAAATGTATATACCTGTTCTAAAATGCAGATAAGTGTCCACCAACAAAATTCAATTCCTGAATTTAACGCAAATATGCTTATTCTAGCAAAGACTAGCTAATATTTATAAGAATGAGAAGTGGACATTTTTCTGTAGTTTATTGTAAAGTTTATCTGATGCACTGACCAGATTGCTGGTTGGTTATTATGGGTGACTTACTCCGCACATTGCATATTATTGTACAGTTTTTATTGATCGAGCCAGCAAACCAATTTTGTTCATTCTTTTTCATAATCCCTTTCTGTCATATTATATACAGTTTTCTCTCATATTGTTTAGCTATTATTAATTATTAGTTGTTCTGGCTAAATACAATTTATTTTGTTACCAATTCTAGGTCACTTAAAATGACTTGTGTTGAATGCACAGGTAGTTCAGTCAACTGGAACAAACCGTTTTCTGTGCAGACTGTTTGTACAGATTGCAGTGAAACAGGCAACTTGACATTTCAATGGGAACTTTTTTGGATTAATGCAACTGAGGACAGCACTACTGAAGGTAAGCTATTGTCTGTATGATATTCGCCTCAGCTAAAGAGAAATCCAGTTACTTTTTAAAGCGTATACCTTCTGAATTATTGCTGTAACATTTTATCTGGTCATTTTTAATGCAACTCTCCCATTTGAAATGCTTCTTGTTCCATATTTTTATGATGGGAATGAATTTCATAAAACTATAGGTAGATGTTCACTTTAGGGCAGTCAGTATCCCTAAAGGGACGTACCGTTCACACCAGGTGCAGTGCATTCTGGTCCGATTCTGGCCGGTACGCACTGCATCGTATTGCGGACGGCACACTTTTATGGGGCAGGAAGGGGCGTGGCGGGCCATTCAAGTGAATGGCAATGTAGCCACGCCCTCTGGCCGCACAAGATCGCAAGACACATTGTGCCTGCGTTCCGGTGCGATCAAAATGCTGCAAGCACTATGCGATGCAGTGCGTTCCGGCCAGAATCGGACCGGAACGCATTGCATCTGGTCTGAACGTACCCTAAAGGACACTGGCACTCAAAATCATTGTACTTGGCACTTGTTTAAAGGAGAAGTATTAGGAGAGTAAAATATACTCTTCCCAATACTTAGAGCTGGCATGTGACACAACAGCTGTCGCACACTGGCTCTATAGACCGAAAACTGAGCGATCAGGTAACCACTGATCGCTCAGCTCACAGTCTTCTTCCTGCAGAGAGCGGTGACTGTCAGCTTTAACTCCTTAGTCCATAGTACGTCACTGGCACTCTGTTTACACTTGTAAAGCCGACTGTCGGCTTTACAATAGAGGCAATTCTGGCAACTCAGCTGTCGCCAGACCGCTTCTCTGGGCCAGTAAGCGAGCCCCACGACCTGCACTTCAATAGCTTATTTCAAGTGTAAAGGCGATACTAGGGGTCTTTTGGACCCTCAGCAGCACCTCAAAGAGTACGTGTCATCACCATCTGCTATCATATGGGGGGCTTTAAGCCCCCCTATGTGATAGCAATTAAAGTAAAGTTTTAAAAAAAACAACCAAAAATGTTTTTCCCACAAAAGTTTTGATTGTTTTTAGATAGACATTACAACAGAGCAGGAAGCAAGCATATGTAGTTGTGCTGACGCAGCAGCCAGGAGTATACATCAAAGGCAGAGAGTTGTGCACACATAAAGCCGTCATTAGGTTGTGCACACATAAAGCCGTCATTAGGTTGTGCACACATAAAGCCGTCGGATGATGTTATGGAGTTAAGTTGAATTAAATCATCTAGGAAGAAACAACTGGGGAACTGAGCCCAGAAGTAAAACACTATACGGAGGGGAATAGGGTGGAAAAGGGGGTATGGTGTTACACAGGGGGGTGTGGGCGGTATATAGAGCTGTTATGTCTTGGGGATCAGGGAGAGGAGGAGAACTATAGAGCAGATACAAACTCTCGTAGCTCAGGTGGGCACCTCCCACCCTCCTCCATGGGGACCGAACAAATCCATAGCTGGGGTGGGTCAAAATTTTGCGGACTAGCGTAGGCGATCCAAGTTCCCAAAATCCACTCGAATTTGGCATAGCAATTGTGCCTGTGATATGATTTTTACCTTCCACATAGCTAAGCACAGGGGATTTTAAGGATCTAGCTATGGTTTGTTTGGTGGCCACGAATATGTGGGATATTAAGCACTGTTGATGTTTACGTACACCCATTATAGGCTTATGTAAAAGCGCTTCCCACAGGTCTTTGTGTAGATTGCATCTAAATACAGTGTTGATTAAAGCATAAATTTGGATCCACATACCTTTAGCCTTGGCACAGTCCCACCAAATATGCTTCATAGTGCCCAACTGTCCACAGCCATGAAAGCATTGAGGAGATTGAGAGGGGAAGATTTTGTGGATGCGGGCCGGAGTATAGTACTACCAAAATACTAGTTTTCCTGTGTTACAACATTTCGGGAACAAGAGTTTATGTTCTTCTAGATTGCCCACCAGTCAGCATCTGATATAGAAGAGCCTATTTCCAATTGGTTAGGTAGAGCATAGTGGTCTGTAAGAGTTGTGTGGGTAGCAAGGATTGGAGTAGGGCTATCAGGTCAGGAGTGTGGGGGTAATAGAGTAGGGTGGAGTAGCTGAATGACTTAGTGATTGTATAAAGATGCAGATTTGGAGGTAGTGGAATAGTTCAGCTTTCAGTATTTGTAAGGAATCTTTGAGTTGAGCAAAGTTACGAATCCCCTGGGGTGTGAGCATGGAGAATGCATCCCGTATACCAATCGCCTTCCACCAAGAAAACCCATGTGGGTGAACCATACCACGATGGAAGAGAGGGCAATGGGTGAGCAACAGGAGGGGGAGATGTGGCGAAATCAGGCGACCCGCATATTTCTTCGAGTCCCATACTTTTAATGTGTGTCATATGGCAGGACCTATGTCGGGGGGTCACCAGAGTGGGATAGGTATCTACTATATCTATGGAGACCCATAGGGGTAAATCTGATTTAGAGGACAAGGGGGGCTATTTGAGCTGCTCTGTAATAATTCTGAAAATTGGGCACCTCTAAACCTCCCTTTTAAAAAAAAAAAAATGTTTACATTTATTTCATTTGATACTATTTTTATGTTTAGACCGTAAAGATATGCCTAACGATTTTAAGATTGTCCTTTTAACCCTTTCGCTGCCAAGCCCTCTGGAACATTTTGCAAATCAGCTGGCCACGCCATTTTTGCAATTTTTCCCATTGATTTGATTTTCAACTGCTGCGTTGCTAGCGTTTGTAAAAGACCCCCCAAACCAGACCCCCCCAAATATATTTTCTGAAAGCGCAGGCCCGGTAGAATAAAAAGATGGTGCTACTAAATTTGTAGGCCCTACGATAATTGCGCGAATGTTTCTCAAATTAATATTAAACCGATAAAAATACACAATTCAATTGATAAAGCACACTAAAATCAGTATTAGTGCACAAAAATAAATATTTTCTGACTAGATCTAAAAGATAAAACTATATTGAGTTAATAAATAACAAAAATTTGCAAATTTGAAATTGCCCTTTTTGCAAAAAGGTAAAAAAATGAAGGTACGCAAAAACTGTAAATAAGCAAATTATGTTAAAAATAGTTTTTTTTTACATTTTTCATTTATTTTTTAATTATTTATGTATTTAATTTTTACTGTTGGGGGGCTATGGTGAAATATCTGGGGTCTAAACAGACCCCTGACATTTCCCTTTTGAAATAGAAAAAGAAATTGAGGACACAGAGTCCTCAATTTCTTTTTCTGCAGCCCCAGCACTCAATGAATGGGAAGCACTCAGTACAGAGGCTTCCCATTCCATTCAGAAACTGCTGATCATAAAATATTTACTATCAAGCAGTTTATGAATGGGGAGAAGCTTCCATAGTGAGCGCTACTCCCCATTCAGAAATTCATGAATGAACAGGAAGTGATGTAAATCACAGCCTGTTCATTCATAACTGGGGACACATAGTACTATGGGGGTTATTCACAATGATGCTGAAGGATCTAGCCGTAGCTTCGGCTAGCTTCGGCCCCAGCACCCCTTCGGTTCAGGAGAACCGTCGGGCTGCTGTACAGGCTATTCACTATACTCCGTACAGCTCCCGAAGTTGGCCGAGTGGCTCAGTCGAGCCGAAGGCATATGCCGTCATCTCACGGCTGGCTCCAGCCACGTGCATGCAGAGACAGATCAGCGTCCCCTGGTTACGAGGTAACCAGGGACACTGATCTGTCATTACACTGAGAACGCCATTCATAAATTCGTGAATGAACAGGAAGTGATGTATATCACAGCCTGTTTATTCATAACTGGGGAAACATAGTACTATTCCTGGAGTTCTTCTTTAAAGAGAGGGACATTAACACACAATTACTTTATATCACTACTAAACAGGAAGCAGCAACTGCACATAATGCGCAAGTACGGTGGCCGCCATATACAAGTAGCATAATTATAAACTATATAACAACAGTAAAATCAAAGTGAATGAAAAGAATAAAAAGAGAATAATTAACAGTCCTTAGTTTATCAGTTCTGACAGAGTCCAGAGTTCAATAAACAAAAGAGGGGTCTGAATGGCTTTTCTCCAAGCAAGGCACAAATGATTTCCAGATAGTACAGGGGAACTCTTCTGGAATGTTAGGAACTTCTTTATGTTGCAGGAGTTCCTTTGATGTTACAGAGCCTCCTTTAGCTGCCTCGCAGCATCTTTTTGGCAGCCCTCTAGGGAGTGTCACGGAGCTGGCCCCTAGGAGCCGGAGGGATGAGCCTTTACAATGTCTGCTCCTCCCAAACTGTAAAATTCATAACTAAGAGGATAATTGAGTATTCATATCCAATACTGTCTGACAATCCCCAAATTATGATGCGTCAGTCATGAAGGCAGCTTTAAATTGAGACCAAACTTGGCAGAGATATGAATGATAGTTGGGTCAAGGGGGCAAATGTCACCTGTCCAGCCCCTGAGTATCATAAACAAACTATTTTTGGTACGCATGTTCCCCTCTTGACGAGACCTATTTGTGCCATTAATGTTACCATATCACTCTCCAATTCCAAGTTATGGGATTGAGTTGATATTGTAACTCAGGGTTTTTATTTTAGGAGTACTGGGTCACAATGTCATAAAACTGATCAACACTCCCATTCCAGATATCAAAAACATAATCTATGTATCTTTTCCAACAGACAACATGCGTATTATACATATCTGATTTGGAAATATGCAATTCTTCTAAATATCCTACAAAAAAATTGGCAAAGGCTGGTGCTGCTTAGTGCCAGATTGCAGTGCCTTTAGTCTTCAGGTACAATTTCTGTTCAAATAAGAAGAAACTATGTTCCAATAGGAAATACATGCATTGCACAGTATATTCAACAGGCCACTCTTGTGGTTTGTCCTGCATCATAAATAATTCCATGGCTATCAGTCCTGCCTCATTTTGGAATGTTTGTGGGGTATTGAGTAAGAATTTTGAGATAATCATCAGTATCCTTAGTAAATGCTGGTAACCTTCT